CTATCTATACCAACCTTGTGTCGGTCAAAAGAGGGCAACTCGCAAGAACATATATACAGATATCTCGAAACTTTTCTTACTTCAAGCGGTTTTTGTAGCGAGAATAACTCCTGTCAAGACCAAATGGATGTGAGAAAAATCATGGGTGGCTTTTCATATAACGGTCGAACTTCTGTAATGAAAGAACAAAATCACTCGTAAAAGTGATAGTACAAAGTGGAGGTATGAAGCATTCGATATCCCTTAAAATAGATCAAATAGATCCCTTAAAAATGCCTCATGCAATCTATTCTATACCAGGAATTATGGACATGTATGAGTACATATTTGGCCTGAAATGTTGGAAACCACTGAATTAGTTTTTATCTTCCCAGACCAGCGTAGTGCGATCCAACAGAGATGTGAGGCCTGGTTGGCCAAGGGTATCGAACCGAAGGTCATTTGCATCACAGTGACGCTTGGAAACAATGCCCGAAACGAGCTCTAGTAGTGTAAAATAAAATTCTAAATATAACGGAACCGTTTAGTAGGTGCTGATTTAGACAAAGTAGCATTATTTGGCCTGCATCCAGAGTTTAATAGCGATTATTAGCTAAGAAATTAATCACTATGCTTGAGAAAAGAGGAAGGAGAATGCGGTAACACTCCAGCAGTTTTATACTCACATGACAGACGTTACATCGTTGTTTGTTGTCGAATAAAGAAATTAACAAGAGAAACGTGACCGACTCAACGATCCGGTTTCGTTTTCAAAGAAGAGGCGGTGATCATTGAACTGCAGCCGAAATGGCAACTCAACAAGACTATGAACCGGCTTAGTAAATGATCTCGGCGTCAGTTACTATACATAAATAGTAAGCTTGACCGATTTAGGTACTGAAGAATACTGTAAGGGCGATTTAAGTTGAAGCGTTTGAAGTTTCACGTATTTAGCTCATAGACGCTTCAAGTTTAACGATTCAGTTACCACACTGGCAACTGAATCGTTAAATTTATGACTTGCAAGTTTGCAATTACAATGACCAACAATCAAATTTGGTCGGTTTAAACGATTCTTTAAACAAATCGATGGAGAGGAGTGAAGTCTGTTGTGCTCTAAAAAGAGTGTTTCTTCCAGAAGAATTGTACTGGGCTATACTGTACTAAGGTAGCATGAAGGGTTTTTTTAGGCGAATGATCTTGGGAAATATTGCATGGATTGCACAATGCTACCTGCTAAAACCGGACTAAAACTATCTTAGACCATAGAGTACATTTCCGGTACATTTCCGCTGTGCATTAACAACTGATATTTGTTATTCCTTGCTGGAATTTTTTACAACTTACAGAAGTAGAATAATTGTCAGTGTCGAACTCAGATGTATTGAGAAAAGAGTGTACATCCCTCCAGCAAGACCTCCAAAACAAGGAGTGGGTAAGAGCGTTGTATTTGGTAGGCCATTTAAGAGTAAACTAATGCGGAGAACTAGTATCGCTCACTCGCAACGTGGCAAATTTCCATCAGGTCCAAAATTGTTTTAATACTCACTTGGATGGTCCGTCTTCACTAGGTGTGCGAATCTCAGCATTATTTCCGTTTTTCCAAGTTTTGCTAGTCTAGCCATTGTGGTTCCTTGGTGTGCCAGAGTCAGCCTGGCTAAAGATTAGTTTCATACCAAGACGGTGGTGGTTCCTGGTATTCGTTTACTTTTAGCTAGGCTTCTTGATGAAAACGCCGGACTCCTTCTCAGCTTGGGATACCCTGTCGAGGGAACGAATCTCCCTACTGTACATTGCAGTCCGACACCAGCAACACCTCCAAGCCACGATGAGGCGGAAAACCGTTAGGAGGACATAACACATGGTAAACCGTTCGATACACATAAATTGCTTTATTACAAAGATTTTAAGCTTCTTGACAAAGAAAATTCAGTACAAGTAATTCCCACGACCGACTTTCTACTAACCTCGCGTTAGATAAGGCAGTCCTTGATGTCCTTGTTGAGCAAACACGAGGTGTCACTTTATTCTTTATTCCGCTAAAGCTTACGTTTCCGCAATATTGCCTTCTTCAGAGACTCCTTGATACGGGTTTCATACTACATGGAAATTGTTCTTAGAGCCACACGATTCTTTGTGGAGAAGCGTCACTCAGGTGTCAAGCAAATAATGCGTAAAATTAGGTGTTTAGAACTTTCCCATGTTTTGAAATACAACCACAATGATTCCGAGATATTCGCAAAACTTGAACCCCTAGCCAGACCGAACCACGGCTACCCTTTCTGGGGACTCGCGTATTAAACGCTACGCCACTGAGGTCCTTGGTTGGCCTTTCTCTCAGCTAGTTATCTGCTTAACGCTATCATCAGCAATCACTCGTCAGCAGGATTGATCATGGAAGCACAAAACAGCATTGAACGAAGTTAAGCTAAGGCTGTAGTCGAAATCACTGTAGTTAGGTAGAAAATTAGTTGAGAGAAACGCAAAGTAAGGGATTCCGTGATGCTGTGTGTAATATGCGTGCCCCGGAAAGAGTAATCGTGATTCAATCTGGCCCTGGGTCCAAGTTTTGCGAATACCTCAGTATCGTTGTGGTTATAGTCCTCATCATGCCCAACCGTGGGAAAGCGTAGTAGGCATCAAATAAAAGGTTAACATTGTCATTTCTTGTGTTTGTTTACTAACAAACCACTGTCTCTTCTTTTCAGTTCGCTTTTCACTAAGTCAGTTTTGTTACTACAAAATTCTGCTTGTGTTCTTTTCATGGATACAACCAGCATCGTAGTGCCTACCCACCTCTTAAGCCTATGTGATATTTCGTTTCGTTTCATCCTTTTTCCTTGTTTTCAAATAGTTTCGACACGGGCGAAAAACTCCGTGCTTCCTATTCCCGTCGAGTATCGACTACTAGTTGGACAGTTACATTTATGAGCGATAAAAATGCTCGCAAAATGTTTCCGTTCGTTTTCCTCCACGTTTGACGTGGCTGTATTTAATTACTGTGTTAAATAATAACTTCAGTTGAGAGCTGTTTCAAAATCTTTTTCCAGTAACGTGAAGAACATTGATTTCATAGTCCAGTAGTGACTGTTATTTTAGAGGTATTTTCTGGAATACTCTCAAGCGGACCTAGGGAGGAACTCTTGAAGTATGAAATCCGATTCATCGTACTTCAAGTCAAAGAAGCAGTGCTTTGATTACATTGCTAGACGGTGATTAATTTCTCCAGTTGAAAGCTGTTGTTTATGCCAAGATTCGGCAAAGCACGCAATCCATCAGAGTCAAATCACAGAGTAACAATGGTCATTCTTAATTTACACTATTCTATTGACCCAAATTCTTTGACAAAAACGAATGACTCCCATGAATCGTTTTACGAAAACAGTAGCGATCCATGTTGAGCAACGACAGCTAGAACGACTAGCTCCGAGAGCTAAAAGTTTATGATAGTGCCTAGTGCTTCTTCAGGTGAGAGGAATGGAATATAGTTCTTTAGGAAATTGGCTCCGAAAGCTTTGAAGAAGTTTTAAAAAAACACTCGAATTGCATTTCTGCAAGCGATGGTAATTTTGAATAAAACTCTTCTTCATGTAAATAGGAACAGGCGCTCGCTTCATCACAGTTGCTTTCTTGAAAAGTGACGACAATTTCCCGATAACTAGCGTGTTTGAGGAGTTGAAAACTTCGCAAAGTCGTAGAAGAGACTCCCGTTCATCATCTTAGTTGTGTATATCACTTTACAAAAAATTCCTCCAGCATTTTTTAGGATTACTAAGGTAACACGAGGTAGGCATAGAAGTCTTATTCGGCTAGCGTTACGACGTCTTCGTCTTCTTCAGAATCTCATTGATTCGAGTCGATGGTCCACATGTGGTCGTCCACGCGATGTGGGTGTTCATAGTCATGTCAAATCGAGTCTAGTAAAATGGATACACCTCCCAATGAGGAATCTAACTCGACAGTGCTCTTTTCTACAGAAGGGATGTTGATCGATTGCCGTTGTCCAATACGATTTGCTCTTATGACGGCAATTCACCCTGTAACATTTTTTCACTTTTAAATCGGAGCGAACTTTAACTAATTTAGTCTTCTAAAGGTGCAATAGCACCCGAAAACATCAACGATAGATTGGAGAACACCAAAACGTTTTGGTGGGTAAAATCTTTGATCGCTCTGGTGTTCGAAATATGGTCCTTGCCCCAATAAATCGAAATAAATATATATCGTGGACTGAAGAAAATTTAGAGTTTGATTTTGATAGAGCATGAGCACTAATGTCTAATAGCCAAACAGATGCGACTTCCAATGGTTTAAATTTCATTCGATGAACTTCACCATGAGATGAAATATGTTGGCTTGAACTTCGGAGCAACACCTATATCTCTACAATACCTATTGTGCTGGTCGCATTTCGGGCATAAAATGCTTAGTAGTTAGCAGTGTAGTGAAGTGGTTAGATATACCTTGCAACATATATTACATCTTTGGCTCGGTTCCACGTCTGATGGAAAACCAAACCGATGATCCATTCGGTGTCAACAAATTAACACCACTCTTGATTGGTAGGTTAAAAATGATGATTTAGCAGACCGGTAGGCACCTTCAAGTATTCTCTGCTGTAAAGGTTAAGTATACATTCAACCACCTTTATGATGCTAGTAATGGAATCGAATGCATGGCACATCTCTGAAAAACTGGCCGATGCTGAATGCTTCCAATCTTTATAGTACTGTGGTCTCAAAACTGAGTGAAGGGAAAAAAAGTTGCGTTCCAAGCTTTGCTCTCTGCACCCTATCAGTTTCATTTTCTGGTTTCTTCATTAGCATCTTCTGTCAGCGACCGTATTCAATGGTATTCTCGCATAAGCAAACATTTTACTACCGTAACCCAATCGTCTATTAAATGAATATTCTACTGATTGTAAGGTGCAGCACAACACAAAACGCATTAGCAAAAATGAATGCAACTTTAGAAAAGCTTGAAAATCTTGTAGCTTTTTGGAAAAACACGCAGAACTTCCATTAAGCGTGTGGTTGGCCACATGCCCTCAAATGGCTCTGACTTTCCTCGTTGAACATGTCGCCAAGTTGCTTCCATGCAGCTTTCTGATCACCGCTCACAGCACCACGAGATTCCAAAAAGCTCACGAAAATGCCGAAAAACTTCTAAAATGATCTAATGACGTTATTTGGATTTTTTAAATAACAAATATTTTAAAATAACTGCTGTCAAATAGAAGAAATCGTAATCCCCTTTTTTTTGATTTGCTCTACAATTTCTAGGTGTTGCCTAGTGCTTCCATCCTGTTATAAACCCTTATTATTAAGCCTTCTTTATTACTATCTTGCCGTTTTAAGGTCTATTCGGTAACTTTGATTGTCTAGGATTTATGTTATTGCAAAATAACGCCACATGGTTCCCGGTTTTCTTTGCAGTCCTTCGGTCCTTTGACATTATCACTTGCAGGCAAGACTAACTGTACTCACTTGAAAAACGAGAAGTCCAAACTAACCGTTCGCAGTAATCCCTAACACCGATTTTCTATTAAGCTCGGCATTTGTCAATAATTCGCTGTTTTCTTGATAGGCACATACGATGATGTTAGCACACCCGTTATTAAGAAAAGATGACGTTGCGGCGAATTTCACCTTCATCAGGGCCTGGAAAGGTCAAGTTGACTGTAATCTAGTCAATCAAATACCTCCATAACCCAACAGAAAAATCCAAAAAAACCTGACATAATGTTTTGTTTCTAAAGCGATGGGAATTTAGGCTTCTTGACTTTTCATTGGTTATATAGAGGTATTTGGCTATGCCTTGCAGTCAACGTGGTTTTCGGGGCTATGAAGAAGGTGAAATCCGCTGAAACGTCAGATTTTGTGATAGTATAGTAACAACTTCGCACATGGTTATCAAGAAGACAGAAATTTAACTGCTTACAGTCCTTCCCTTTTTCCTTTATGCTTTAGAGATCATCACGAGTGTTTTCGCTCCCAGGTATATCACAAGCATGTTTCTACAATGGCGTAGCGCTGTAATGTAGTAATGGAATCGCAGTACTTCCTTTTCATCTCTTATTATCGATTTAACCGCCCTGTTTCGAATTTTATGGAATTTACAAAAAAACTAAATGGTATTTGTCAAAAGCTTTAGGGAAACTGTATCAATGACGCTTACGCTCCAAAGTGCTGGATCGATTTTCAAAGCCACGTGTCTATCCATGGTGTCGCGTACGTACGCACGAAATGTTGCTTCCTGAAAGAATCCAGTAATTTCTTAATAGTTTTATCTTCCTCATTTATTATTAACATGGCCATAGATTTTCTCTACCAGAATTGCTTTTTTTAGGAATTCAAAAATTTTTCTATTGCTAATAATCTTCGTTTCAAGATATCAGTGTTGACTAATGTCAGTATAAATTTCGTATTTGCAGGACTGGGTGACCTATCCACACCTTAAATCTCACTGAAAATAGCAAGTGGCATCAGTAAAGGCCCTTATATGAAAAAAGATGATCCGCGGATTTTTTAGGTGAGTGGCAGACCTATTGGTCAGCTCTGGCGCGCGAAAAAAGGAGAGCTTAGTGACGCGCGAGATGTTTCTTTCCAATCCACCAGGGAATGTAGGCAATTTAAGAGGTGAGGCAGAGAGATGTCACTATTATTTATAGCACAATTGCTCTTAAAGAAGAGTTCAGTAGGTTTGTAGGATTTAGAGAACATAATGATTGAAATACATGCGATTCTTAAGTTTTGTGAATTTCCTCTTTCGAAACTCCAATCAGTTTGTAGCCGGTCATTTGCAACATTGTAAAATCACTAATAAATTCTCTCTAATACTCTCATCTTTGTTTTCTAATAACGTAGAAACTCACATCATCAAAGCTATCGGCGAGTATGTGGATGGCGAGTAAAATTCCTCTGCCGAGTTTTTCAAATCTAAAAATGGAGGACTAGACAATATCTAATTTTCGTCTTCTTTCCTTTTTTTGCCAGCAAGTTATTACGTTAAATATATCTGCAAGAATACTGAGATTTTCTTAAAACTTGGACCCCAGCCCAGACCGAACAGCGATACCTTTCTGAGGTTCAAGTGTTACGCGCGGCACAACTGAGGACCTCGTTCCGCTTTTCTCTCAACCGGCCTTTTTACACTATTAAAAATTAGATGGTTTTCTAGTAGTTCTTCAAAAAAGGAAAAAAATTAAATTTAGCACCGAGAAAAATCTCATGACGAACCTGTGCATTTTTATACTCCTGCGTAAGCGTCATCTTTTTGCCCATTTTTCGAGAGATTAAAGAGATTAATTTTTTCGCCTCTTCCAATAAGTCACGGTAAATTATGAAAATCCGTTTTTTTATAGCCACCTCATCCTTCTTTCCAACGGTTTACCGCCTCATCGTGGCTGGAGGTGTTCTTGGGTGTCGGGCTGCGATGTACACTAGGGAAATTATCCGCCTGGTAGGGTTTTCCAAACAGAGAGGGAGTCTGGCGATTCCATCAGCAAAGCCGGCGAAGAGTGAACCAGGACCCACCGCTGTCCTGGTATCAAAGTCGCATGGTGGCAATTCTCCCTCTAAACCACAAGGGCGACGGCTGCATGTGATGGTGATGGGGACACTGGGACAGGCTTTAGAATAGCTGACCTCGGGTCTCCAGGAAACTACAATGGTTAAACAAGCAAAACTCTCTAGAAATGGAGATTAAGCTGAAAACCGCACAACCAGTGAGGACGGGCCATCTAAGTATCTAAGTAAGCAAGTAAGTATATCCACCCCATTAATCTAGGAATTTCAGCATTTTCATCCAGCAACGCGGGTAAGATTTTGTTGGGGTTCGTCACTGTTCTGGAACATACCTAGTCGCATAGTGATATATCTCACAACGATCGACAACGAGTTTTTGGTGGTGATGACATCAGAGTAGAACATTATGAACGAAACTGTCAATTGTTCATTTTTTGGCAATAGCTGTTTTTTGTTTACGTGAAAATCTATCTTGAGGTGTTTGCGTGTGATTTGAAGTACATAGGTAGAATTGTCTGTTAACCCGAAAACACCTCACCAGTAATTCCTTTATCAGATAACCAGTGGTCAATCTGAATAGTTACTTATCTTTTGTCAATTTAGCTGAAGTGCAACTCTCACCTCTCACTTTTCTGAACGTCATCAGCGGTATAGTTTTCTGCTCCTTTGAAATAAACACGAAGATCAGGATGATTTGTAAAGAAGCTAAATATAAATAGAAACAAATCAATAAAGTACTAAGGACGAAGAATAGTTAGACGGCTTATCAGTTGGTATCCTTCAAATTGTTACAGAGATATTTGCATATAACCACAATGCTGCTGAGATATTTGCAAAACTTCGGACCGCGGGTGTTTGCGGTGGGGTACGATTGCGCTATTACCCTTTCCGGAGGCTAACGCGTTCACCACTGCACCATGCACGTCCTTCGTTTTGCCTGTCTCTCGGCTAGCTCTTTTTGTAATGTTTGCACATGTTTAGGGTACAGTAAAAATGAGGGCTCTTCTTTTCACATCACATGACGAACGATTATGTCCGATTTTCAAATGCAACGATTCAAAAATGGTACAATAACTTATGAGAGACGGGTAACACTCAAGAAGTGGTGCTCTTAAATACATTAACACACACAGTTGATTCCACCCCCGTCCCAAGATCACTAAGCTTTGTTTCCTTCCAGGGTCGCTAAAATGGCACCAAACGTTTTTGTAGGACCAGGGAACTGACTTGGTACATTGGTAGACCATCATAAGTCATTAAATAGGCCACATATTTACGCAGTAATCTGTATGATGCGTGACGATGTCAAATGCTTTGGGAATGCACCAGAAATGAATCAACGCCTTGAGCTTTATCCTTTTTATCCTTCACGAAAAATAATAACAAAGGAAAGCATTGCTTACTATTTATAGAAATCCTTTCCATTTTGAAGTTCCTTCTGTGTTTTGCCGAGTGGAACAGATTTAAGCGATTCCTTTACGTGCTTCCTCACATCAGCTGAAGGTGCCATTTTCTACAAAATACTTCTTAAATGGATTCTGGTAGAGGAACAACATAAAACTTTATTTCAATAAGAAATCGCTATTCATTCTTGGTGGAAGAGACACAAAGCAACAAAAAGGAAACGATGCAACAAGAAGGATGAGAAAAGGTGTACCTCTTTTAAATAGTTGTGTTCTATTCGACGTTAGTGTTGTTTTCTGTTGTAGAATGAGTCTGTAGAAAATGGATACACTATGAAACATATTTATAAGCAAAACTGCTTAAGGAAGGACATCTAATGGACTTTCACTAGAGGTAGATGAAGAATTTTCACTTTTTATTAGCAATAGCAAGAAAAAGCCCGAAATAGAATCTTTCCTACGAAAGTGTCAGACGTGCCACCCTTAGCCAGAACGCTGCAGGGGTGAAATGTCAAGTGGCGAACGAGCTGATAGGGAAACGTTACCGCATTTATACAACGTAAACAACAGAAACTGTCATATTTTTAGATTTCATGACAGCTCAGGGGGTCGAGCGCTTGCTGTAAAGTAAGTGTTCCTTCGTCATGTGCTCGTATGAGTACTCTAGTCGCATACCATTGAGTACATGAAAAGTTTTTTGGATGGCCTTATAAGTGCCTTCAAGATTTCGATCACAATAGTCTGTAGTAAAGTTAGCTCCAATACTGGAAAACTCTGAGATTTACGTATATCATGCCACGCAAGGTCGTCACCTTATTTCTGGAAAGCCAAAAATTCTTCTAAGCAAATTATAACAAAGATCCACCACTCCCACGTTCAACTGTGCTTGCTATAGAAGGTAGTATTTAGAAACCCAGAGGTTTCATAGTCGTAAAAAAAATTGAAGAAGGCGCAAATATTTGAAAAATCCGTCACTCACACTCATATAGATGTGGTCAGGCTGTTTACACGTAAAGGACAGCATTGAAGAACGGTTACTCTACAATGTTACAGCGTAGGCTTGGGTAGGTAAGTGACTAGAAGAAATTTGAGAAAACAAAAGTCACGAGCTGAGGGCATAACAGTGATTCCAGAACACCGGAGACATCTGTGTTACTTTTGTTATCGATGGTACTGCTATGAAACTTAGGAGTTGCTATAGATCACCAAATGCCGGACTAGACCTAAATATCTGATAATCTATCCCTCATATTCTTCACCATTGCTAGAGAGAAAGGGCCAACAACGCTGGAACATCGATGACGGAAGTAGACGGTTGAAAGAAGAAAACGAATCTAATGGAAATAGTTTTCTTCCATACTTTTGCTGTATGGACTGGTCTTTTGAAGAATTATGACTTGACATAAAAAGGTAACTAAAACCTAAAATCTTTTAGAAATTAGTGCCAATCATTATGGCCTCGTTCCGTTCATATTATAGTGCACCTACTTTCAACGTGCAGTGACGATAGAAGACGTATCCTCAAACCTCAAATCACCCACAATTTTGTCTTCCTCTATGGCGAAGAGAACGCATTAACACAGAAATTGGGAAACGTTACAGGGCCTGCACTATAGAAAATGACAGATGATCAAAGCACACAAGTGAGCAAGAACATAAAAGATATAGGATACGGATCTCAATGGCATAGAAAAATACTGTTCAGTAAAAAGTTCCATTACACATAGTTGCTTTAAGAATTACTTCCTTACTTGATACTTGGAGGGCCCGTCCTCACTAGATGTGCGGACTTCAGCATAATCACCATTTTTCGAAGATTTGCTGGTTATGTCATTGTTGCTCCGCGGAATCTCGAGGACAGCCAGGCCAAAGTTTGCCCCAGGTCGTCACCACGACAGGCGGTCGCAGCCCTTGTGGAACAGAGGGAGATTTACCATCACGCCTCTTTGATACTACAACGGTGGTGGATCCTGGTGTTGGTATACTCTTAACTAGGCCTTCTGATTGGAACGCCGGACTCCTTCTCAGCTTGGGTGACCTCGTCGTGGAGAATCCCCTCGCTCTATATCGCAGTCCGACACCCATGAACACCTCCCAGCCAAGATGAGGCGGTAAACCGTTGGGGCGCTTCAATAATTAATTTTTCAAAAAAATTTGCTCCAAAAAAGACGTTTTATCGTCTCTGAAGTAACAGAAATCGGATAGTGTTGCCTTCTTGCCCATGTGAAATTTTGTTTATTCTATAGATTAAATGATCGTGATGTATTACTAGACTTGCTAAAATGCTGTCGGACTTCGGTGTACAGCGGATAGTTTGTTTGCCAACAGGAATTCGGTGTCGAACTGCAATATCTCGTGCTCTAGCAAGTGCTGTGTGCCAGACTGTAAGGTTCAGTTGGTGGTTTATTCTGCTGCAGATGTTGGATGTTGAACTGCAATGTACATCGGAGCCTCTTCCTCCAGCACGAGGAGAATTGTGTTTATAAAAGGGCATAATAGCAAAAGTGGGATATTTTCCCTGTTAATTGTGAAAGTGGACCACAATCTTTTTCGGAGATTCGGTCCGAATGGAAGTCGGAATCGGAGATTTTTTTATAAACAGGAACGAAGTACACTGGATGTAGCTTAAATAACTCGGTGGTTAGCGGTATTCCAACCAATACAGGTAGTAGAATTTTCTAACGACAATACCACAATACTCTTTCATTTACTGCCTTTTTCTTCTTAATGGCAGGGTATGTTGTGAAATATAACTCGTATGAAATGCTGAGATATTTGCAAAACTCCGGACCACAGGTGTATGCAGTGGGGAACGAACACGCGCTGTTGTCCTTACCAGGGAGCAGCGCACTTCACCACTACACCATCCGGGTCCTTCGATTTTGCATGTATCTCAGCTAGTTCTATCGATCTTTTTTGCCATCAGCAGTCACCCGTCAACGGGATTGATCTAGGGAGCCAATATCGGCATTGAACCCAGTTAAGCTGAGGCCTCGTTATAATCACAATACGAGTTATATTTCACAACATACCTTGCCATTAAGAAGGAAAAGGCAGTAAATAAAAGAGTTAATATTGTGATTATAACGAGGCCTCAGCTTAACTGGGTTCAATGCCGATATTGGCTCCCCAGATCAATCCCGTTGACGGGTGATTGCTGATGGCAAAAAAGATCGATAGAACTAGCTGAGATACATGCAAAGCGAAGGACCAGGATGGTGTAGTGGTGAAGTGCGCTGCTCCCCGGTAAGGACAACAGCGCGTGTTCGTTCCCCACTGCATACACCTGTGGTCCGGAATTTTGCAAATATCTCAGCATTTCATACGAGTTATATTTCACGACAATACCACAATTATGTTCAATGCAGCGAAGTCGATTGGTACTATAAAAGTTGAAAATAGTTTATCTGTTCCAAGGACGGATAAACACTTCTAGTTTTCATACTGAAGGGAGCTCATCCATAACAAACGGCAACCGGAACTGGATCCAGGAAAACATTTCAAGTTGATCATCATTTAGGTCGGTGTCTATTCAGCGCCTGAGAACGGTCTCCACAGATTTTCACCAATTGATTATCTCTGGGTTCCTTTGCCTGAACATATTTGAATTCAACGATTTCATCTGGGCCATATAGCTTTACGATATCACTGCCTGTTTCTCTAATTGAGGAACAAAGTTCATTCTCTAGGAAATAGTTCACAGGGATGTTGACAACTTTTCAAAAGCAATCAAATATTGTATCTATGCAGATGATGGCACTTTTCGTCAAACTGATATCCCTAACAACATTCAGTCAAAAAAGTGATAAAATTGGCACTGTATATGTGGTACGTAAATACCAAACTTTAGTCAAATGGTTTCATTCCATGGTGCTCGAATGGAACATCCGTCTATTTCACGTATACATGATTTACCACCGCGATCTAACAAACATCTATTAAAGGAATATCGTCCGTGTTATAAATAGTGCCCAAAACTAGTTAGTGACAGAGAATGCAGTCTCTAGAAAAACAAAATTTTTTTGGTTCCTTAGAGCACCAAACGACATCCGCATTAAACATGTGGTAGGCCCAGCTCCTTCAAGTGGCTCTGACATTCCTCATTGAACACCTTGCTCAGTTGGTTCCACGCAACTTTTTGCTCATCAGTTAGAACTTCGCGAAATTCCAGAAACTCAACGAACACCGTAAAAAAGTCCTGGAAAAATTAGAAAGGGTTATTCAGTTTCTTGATAATAAGTAATTCATAAATTAACTACGCTTTCCAAAAAAAATGCTAGCAGTCACTTCCTGTCATTTGCTGTCTGAATTAATGCAGTTAAGGTCGTTCCTAGGTTATAATCCTTAAATCATTATAAGTGCTTATCGCAGACGGAATTTCAAAAACACTGTTAAATTTTATTCAAATTATTCTTTGTAGGATTTTTCCATACTACGTTCTCGTGATTTTCTCTCGTTTGCAGTGGTTTTTGTGTGGTACAAATGTACCGCTAAGTCAAGGAAGGCTTAGTTAGTGCGGAGATATGGGATCCTGTTAACGACCACATATGTATTGCAGGGCTGCTTCGGCCACTGGGATACGAGCACTCACTCTATATCTAAGAAATTTCTACGCATGATCTAGCTTTGCTTATTTCTGTTTGAAACGCAATGTACCCTAACTCCGGAGCAGTGTAAGAGACAAAAAGCGAATTTGGAAGCTTAACAAAGATCAAGAATGTAGTGAGCAGAAAAAAGTACAACGTGCTCGGTGTCGACCTCTCTGAATTTATGATTTTTCCTCCCAATGAGACTATTCGGCGTTTTGTGACACTCCTTAAAAAACCTACCTCGACCTGATCATTAAATGTGACATAAGAAATTCGAAGTTCCAATCACTAAACCTTTCGAACTAAAATCAGGTGGGCCAGGAACGAACTGTGTCTTAGAACCGCTGTACAAGACTTGTTGGCGATTAGTTGCTACAAGATGTCAAGAGTACAAAGACCTTCAATCCGCTAAGACTTCACTAAAATCGTTGAAAAAACGTATGATAGTGCCCGAGCCCTTACTGCAAACAGAGTCCTCACGAACATTAATGATTGACCCTTCTATAATTCCCAACCGTCGCTGAAAATTCTTCTCCAGATTTTTTCGAGCACCAAGTTTTTTACTTCCTACCGTCTATTCACTCTTTTTTTTCTAGAATCTGGGTATTTTTTAATACATAAAAGGAGTAATTGTATAAATGCTTACCGACCACACTACGGGATCCATTTGAAAGTCGCGATGTCTGCTCACCACTTCACGCACGTAAGCACGGAACGTTTGCTCCTGCAACAGTTTAGTAACTACACAGTGAGTTAATGCACTATTTTTCAAATTGCAATTTTTTGCTCAGAAAGAGCTGATGCAATGGCATGATACTGCTGATCACAAGTACGGTGTTGGTTCAACCTCGTTCAGGCGTTGACAAGTTCCGTATTCATTCTAGGTCGAGAAATTGTTACCAAACATGTCAAGGAAAGATGCACTCTGACTTATTTACGTGGGAGCGCTGGAAGCACCCTAGGCTGGCTATCTCAGGGCTTCACAGGCAATTAGCTAGACCACCATCCAATGGCATTCGACAAAAACGACAGTGCTCAAACATCAGTAGAGCCCATTTGCAAAACCTCGAAGACATTCGTGAATAATGTTTGTAGGAGAACTAGTCGAAAGATATGCTGGGATTCCCACAACACATACGAGGGCGAGTCGTGTAGAATAAATAAAATGTCTCTGCAAAACTTGGACCTTAGGCTAGATTCGCAACTTAGCCCCCGGAAAGGGTAATAGCAAAATTCTGTCGCCGCCGCAGAAATCTTCGACGTGAAGCTTTGCAAATATCTCAGCACCATAGTGGTTGAATATTTGAACTACTTTTTTCTTATTTATAGACTTTTATGAGTTTACAATTATAGTTTTGTAGCTTTGCAACAATCCAGATTTGTTCTCACTAGTTGTCTTTCCTTCCATTTTTTCGAAAACTGGAATGTTGTTGGAGAAACCTACATCGTCAAAAGTATCGGCAAGCAGATAGATGGCGAGTAGGATACGTTGGCCTTGCTCTGCGAATCTAGGCAAGAAAGATTTGACCAATTTTAGTAAAAGAAATCTTTTCAAACTTTCTATCTCACTATTCAATTGAGGAACCACACAAATACTTGGATAATTCGGCACTTGAATGACCAGCCTTGGACACACAAATGTCGATATTGAAGCTTTTATTTTCATATCTCTTTTTTCACTCTTTTTAAGCATTATTCTTTTTTCTCCATTTTTTCCTTTCTTTTTTGACTAAATTATTCAAGCATGTAAAATTTTCATTCTCATTCCCTCAACTAATGTTTTCCGTTTTCATTGGGATGCTCAGTTAAGACTTTCCTACGGAACGCTGTCATTCGGGGGAAACCTATTCACAAGGTGGTAATTCTCGGTGAGTGTTTTTGGTAGTGGCAACATCGGAATGGAATGACAGTAGTTTTTCGGCTCTTTGGAAAATTCCTATGAAATCGGCAACATCCGTTTTAAACAAATAATATGCTTTAGGCAACAGCGGTTGCAAAGGTATGACCATTCAATCCTTCATTTTCCATTATGTTCAAAATTTTCTCTTTTAACTATAAATAAGCATCAAAACATTTGCCTAGAGCTCACGTTGTGACTCTTTTCATTGCAAAAGTATTTATCTCATTTTCTTAGGTTTAATACTTCAGCCATTTAAAAACACGAGCATCGCTTAACTATTCAGTTTTCGAATGTAAATATCTATTAACTACGTAGAAATCTAAAGGTATGTGCGTGCGTGCGTGCGTGCGTGTGTGTGTGTCTGGAATGGAAATCTCTAACATCATCGAACCACCTTGTCAGTACTTCTTCTTTTTAGTAAATCATTTTTCACTCTAATTGGTTAGCTATTTTCTATCAATCTGCCAAAGTAGAATTCTTACCTCTCACTTTTTTGAACATCTTCTGCTGTATAAGCTTCAGCACCTTTGAAATAATGACGAAGATGACGATGATGAGTAAACATGCTATTAAAGAATCTATTAATAAAACACAAAAAAGCTAGCTTAGAGCTCCGGCTTTCATCAGTCCCTTAAGGAAGCATCATGCATTCGGCCACGTTCGAATGATTGTGGAGGTGACTGGACTCATATTTGTTCTAAATTATAGCTTATGGTGGCTTACTGATCCAGCAGGTCAATGTTTTAATCACTGCAGACAATTTCGATGCCAATTTACCCTCAACAGAGGATGGGGAATCGCTTTAGCAAAGGCGTTGGGGAATACGAACCAATGACCAATAACTTATGTGTTTCAGGGCTCCTCTAACCATTGCGCTCCACGTTCCCACGCAAACTTAAGACAGGTGAAAAATGATGTGCATGAAAAGCTTTTTTCTCTAATTATTTTATAGCATAATAAAAATAACTAGATCCATCTAGGCTATAGAGCAAATTAGATCGAGTTGTTTGTAGTTTATGGGATAAATAGTAAAAAGAAAACTTACTGCTTGTAAAAATCAAGTCCATTTTGAACTTCAGCTGGCGATGTACCTATTGGAACGGTTTTAAGCGAAGCTTTCACTTGTTTCTTCACATTCTCTGGAGTGAACATTCTCTGCAAAAAACTTTTTAAACTGAATTCTAACGAAGGAAAAATAATAAAACTGTAGCAGCGTCGAAAAAACAGTGATGTTTCATTGTTGAGATGAACGAGAAATGACAAAAAGAAAGAAAAAGGACGGTGAAAAAGTCTCATCCCATCTCAACCCTGTACCTTTTCGCGTCATAATCTGCATTATAAGGATTTATTGATGGGGTAACAATACGCTAAAGAACATACCCGTCACTAAAACGTTGAGAACAAAAACGATCTAGTGGAAGAAAGTATCATGCAGTAAATAAAACGTGATTAAATTGTGATTTATGCCACAGCTTAAGCGTAATTGGGTTCAATGCCGATTTGTGCTCTCCAGATTGGTCCCGTTGACGGTTGATTGCTTATAGCAACCATAGGTTAAAGCGCACCTGAGAGGAAGGCGAAACGTAGGAATCGCGTGGTGTGGCGGTTAACACGTTAGCCCCAGAAAAGGGTAATTGCGGATTCCATCTACACCACAAACGCCCGCGTTCTGAGTTTTGCAAATACTCAACATCATTGTGGTTATAATTCACACCACACCATACTATGGAAAAAGAATAGTCAAATAAATAAATAAATAAATAAAAAGTAAAATGAATAAATAGTAAGTAAATAAAAAGTGACTACATCCAGTGGACTTACAGTTCACGTAAGAGAGAAGCTTTCGCCATAATCATCAGTAATAAACTTAATGGGAAGTAATCGGGACAGAATCTTTTTCAATGGGGTGCTACCAAGCCATCAAACGCAAATGAGTATTGAATATGAGGACCACATTTCCCGTCAAAGTTGCTGCTAACAATATCCTTATATAAGTTAGGGTGCAATACGAACCAGTTTATGAAGTAACGAATTGCACACTCAGCTCCAGTAGTCTAGTACGATTACGGTGGTCGTAATGAGCTCCAGTGACCTCGCACGGCTTTCCATTTCAATCCGTGGTATATTGGAATTTGAAAAATTTCACAAGCTTGCTTGAAGTCATTTTATCATCGAATTTATTTGCGTACCTGTAGAATGTATAATTATTCTTGTAGAACTTTTCTAAGATCCTACAAACAACGTGGTTGTTTTTGTAGAATTTCTCTCGGCTCCTACAGCGTTTCTCGGCATCAAATGCGTTGTAGTTCGTTGTAAAGATCTAGACGACGAAGGCTTTCGAAACCAGTAATGCCATTTCAACCGTAAGCGTACGATTTGTTTTGAAAGTTGTTCAGTAGGATGGATGTTCACAGTCAGACTCAGACAGACTGATGTTGATGAAAACACTAACAGTGCCAGTTCCTTTACCGTAACAAGCTCCATTTGTTCTCTACTAGCATAAGCGGCGTCTATTGAGCGGTGTCTCTCCGAATTCCACTTCAGTGATATTGAACTTTATAGCTTTAATCTACCTATTAGAGCATTCGGTAAAATCATATATTGGGATTACAAAAGAAACCCTTCTACTTTAACGGATATACTTATAGCTTTATAAGGATTCGCACGAGGTTTACTCTTCATAGGCAAGTCAAAACCGCTCCCCATGTATTAATACCTTACATTTAGTTTGTACTGGCCATCACGAATACCCTTACATCTGTACAGAAGTTGAAGCCAGCTTATTACAACCTCCTCGATAATCTGTCAATGAATAGTAGAAATAGCTGCCGCTTTAGAAAAGTCTTGGACAACGCAGTGATCCACAAGCGTCTGTGACTGTTTTTGCTGGCGCCATGAAGATCTCTGGTCACCAAAAAAAGGCTATCCCAGAATTCCATAGAAAACGGCATTCCACCAGCATTCGAGCTGTCAGTAAGGAGAAAAAACTACAGATTCATGTGCCGCAGAAGTCTGAATCCACCTTCGTAAAAGCTGGGAGTCCACAACATAGGAGATGCAGGATCCTGAATAGCGTCTCAGAACCGTGTAACTATGGCTGAGTATAAAATAGTGGAAGTCAAATTAGGAAATCTCACAAGGAAAAGTGGGAAACGGCGCAAAAGAACGGTATCTGTTTCATTCACTTTTTCTTCTTTCCACTTCTTTCCTGCTTAATATAATTTCCTTGCTTTTCATGAGTTTTATCTCAGTTTATGTATCAAATCTGACAACGCATTCGAGATTCTTTGTTCTTTAATAGGACGAGAAAATATTATTGGGACGAAAAGCATCCAAAATCCTGTTACAGCCACTTGTTTTAATGACTACGTTTCTATGAAATGATTAGAAAGAAAACCTCTAACGAGCCTGAAGTGACTAATTGAAATCAAAAGCACTTTGGGATATGTAGAATTTATTAAGGTTGTGATCATGGGCGCGTGTGGTCTAGAGGTCTGGGGCGCCCTCCAGCAGAAATCCCCGATCCCCTAGCTCACCAAACCCTCCATCGTCCAGAGGTCGCCAACTTAGTACCAGGATTCTCTTAGAGATAGCAGCACTGGTTCGATACAACAGTAGGCCACTGCGAGTCATTGTAAAGACAGGATATACATTCATTCACTTCCAAACGATTCTTTATGAAGTCGAGTGCATGGCGCATCTCTCAGGGATTGATCAACACAGAAAACTTTATCTTTATTTCCTTCATCAAGTTTGTAATTTACCACCTCGACGTGGTTGTTGGTGCCATTTAGTGTAAAACTTCAATCTCGTTCCTAATCGACCTACCGACGTCAGAATGAGTCCGACATTTTCATGAAGAAGCCGAGTTAAGAGTAAACCAGTAGCTGCTACCATCCTGATAAGAACATAGTCAGTATTTGGCAAATGTTGACTTGCGACGTTCAACGACGATCTATGTGAAACTTACTACAGCTTTCAAAGCTCAAAACAAAGTAAAAACTTTTTCTAATAAGTAAACCAACAAATAACTAAAATAATACTCGAAGACACACGATGCTTCGTAAACCGCGAAGACCGGTTACCTCCAACCTGGAAGCTCAGTATACTTACCCCATAGAGGTGACTAGTGAACAATTCGTAATCAATTCTCATAAAATCTTTCAAAAAGATTTTTTTCAAAAGTGTGACTATTTTGGTATTCCTTGAGCCAGTGGAGCACACTTGGTGGTTTTGATGCACAACAGAAGCAAGTGGTGCTTACTAATCCCTTCTAAAGTCGGAAGGTGATTAACGAAGTTAGAGATAGAAGCAGTGATGGAATTACATAGTTACAAAAACAAAATAATGCTTGGCACGATTGGAGTGACGTTGATTGGTATTATACTAGCTAAAAATAGTTAAAAATGCATAGTTTTTAAACAGTCTGGTAGACCCTACCAAGGTTTTTATGAGGAGAGGGGCACACCCAAAGAAAAACATTAAACAGAACTGGATCCAGCAAAACATTGCAAGTTAATAACTATTTAGGTCGACACTTAACCAACAAGTCACAAAAGTCTTTACAGATCTTTACAAATTTGTTATCACAGACTGTTTCATCAGGCCAGGGTGTCTCAGTTCAGGAACTTGTTCTGCGCGTCTATAGTCTAGAGACGTCTAGATAAGTCTATAGATGCACTGAATCCTTTTATAGATACAGACTGAAATGCCGTTCTTGAGAAAGTTATTTAGGAGTGTATTCAAACAAGCACTCAAAAATTGTGGAAAAATCGTGTTTTTTCAAATAACTTCGAGTGAAACCACTGTTTTTCATAGCACCGGGACACGATTTTGCAATGGACGGTTAGAGGTGCTCTAGCACACCCACCTGGTCGTTGGTTTGACCTCCTGCTTTGGACCAACCAACTCAACCAATCACTCTGGATAAAATTGTCATCGGAATTGTCTGGGAGCCAAAAACATTGACTTGAAACACAAGTAGACCGTCAAAGTTATTCTGCACCACAGATATACGTTTAAACACCTCCATGACGGTGTGAATGAATTGAATGCGATGGGGCGCATCCTTATGGGATTGTGCAAGACTGAGCGCTTCAGTTGTTTCATGTTATATGAATGGAAAGTTATGATGACTTTTAAAACGACGTTTGCCGGTGCCTAAGCGTTATTACTAAAGGAAGGAAAGAAGGCTAAAATTTCGCTGTGACCCTCTCTTCACTCCTGCAATCGAGTAAACATCTATTAAACGATTATTCTGCGGATTATTAAAAATGTTATACGAAGCTTAATAATAACAACGAATGCAAGAGCGAATTCTAGGAAACATCCATGTATCTCTTCTTTTTTGAAAAACACTCATAATCCGCATTAAACATGTGGTAAGCCGAGGTCCTTCAATTGGCTTTGACATTCCTCATCGAACACCTTCGCAATTTGCTTCCAGGCGACCTTCTGCTCTTCGCTTAGAGGACCACGGGATTGCAGAAAATTCGTAAACACCGTAAAAAACGCCTGAAAAATTGAGTGCTGCTGTTTCTGTTTTTTCTGGCCATGAATGATTTTGAAATGAGACCTTTTTAAAAAAATATAACAAATATAATTCGCCTACGTGTCCCCGTTATCACCTTGAGACCTTTTGTGAATAGAACCAGGTGTCTTGAACAAACCAAATAAGAATGAACACCGTCCGCGATGGCTTACAAACTATAAGATAGGTACGCTTTTACGAAATCCGTAAAAATCATTCGAGACCCTGTCATTCCTCAAGACCAGGAATCTGCAAGTGTTACTAACTGTCAAGAATTGCGAAAATAAAGTCTAACTCCATCTACCATAAAAAGTCCAGATCGAAACAGCCCTACTCAAAACAAACACGGTAAATGGAACGTCTACAGAACATCGTATCGTCATAAACGATTAGGAATGGAGTGACCAGAGTGGGCAGCAGTTTATGGAAGCCGATGTTTCCAGAAGCTCGCACTCAATGTTGGATTTGAAATCCTTTTGATGGAGGATCTGGAAGCGACCAAACACTTTTACGATAAAAGCAAAAAGCCGAGAATTTGGAAGTCAGTGGAGACTTCTGCCTTCAGGAACGATATATTTGATATACTAACATGAAATCTTAAGAGGCGAGAGCTTCCATCCAC